AAAGAGCTTCACTGAGTGAGAAGTAGTGTGGAGAGCAGCAGACAGTTTCAGTTTCACTTTCAGTTTCACTCATTTGCTTTGTTACTGCAGAGAGCCTGCAGGAGTCATGGGCGGGGGGTGCTCCGTGATGAGGAAGTTCAGCCTAAAGACACGTCCCAGGGGTGTTTCTGGTCCCCACCTGCTGTTTTGCTCCTCAGCATGACTGCCTAAAAATGCTGCAGGATTTCTGAAACATGCATGAATGAGTCAAAGCAAGGCTTTGGGTATGTTTTTTATGAGAGTACAACATTATAACATGATAAAACTCAAAAAAGTTGATTTTACATGATATTGCCTCTTTAAACTGTAGGAACCCTGTTAATGTCTGCATGAAGAGGACAGTGCACGCAGGCTTTTGTGTCCGCTTGGCTGTGCTCTCCCTCTGCAGCGGCGCTGACGAGGGACGCAGGTAGTGTCCRCAGAGAGCTGACGTAATGCAGCAGGAATCTCCTTTGCAGCAGAGCCAAGTTCCCTTTACAACCAGAGAGAAACTGAATGTGTGTTCGGGTGTTTACTATTGTCAGTACAAGACTGTGTGCGTTGAGGGTTCAAAGCAGATGCATTTCTTTTTTTTTTTTTCCCACGCAGAGGGAGGAATTGCTTTCAGATGTTTTGTAAGGTGCTGGGAAGAGAATCAGAAACAGAGTCAGAGCACGCTGCTGCGGACGTTCAGCAGGCCTTACTGCATTAAACTTTGCAGATTGCTTAAATGGGATTGAAGACTGTTTGTGTCGCCCCATTAGGTTTACCACAGATCCCCATTAAGCAGATGCCTCTTTCAAAAAGAAAYAGTTAATGAATTTTCAAAGAGCAGGGAAGTGGAGGTTTTTAGGTGTCGTGTACGGACGCTCTGTGTTTTCTCGTGACAGAGCTGTAGAGCTATCAGATGCACAGGAATGTTCATCTGACGGATATTTAATGTGGCTCATTTTGTTTCTGATTATCACTTTTCAACAAGAAGTTAATCAACAGCTGCAGCAGACAGAATTTSTTGGCTGACAGACAGTTTTGCTCCTGTAAATTTGTGAAATTTTATTAACCTGCGGAAGAGTGTGGCAAGAAAAGACATGCAAATTAAGCCCATGTTATCAGCTTTTCTGAGGAAGTGATTTTCACCTCCTTGTTTTTCTCGAACACTAGCAGTAAGTTGTAAAAAAAGAAAGCTACAAAAAAAACAATAGTTGAAACAAGAAAATGCTTCTTATCTTTCTTTTGGAGTCTYATTTTCATTTTTACAACCTGGGGTCAGAGTTTCTTTGGAGAATGTGTGAACATTTTGGTCTGAACTTTCAGCACGTTTGCTGTTCACACATGGAGTCAGCTTGGGGACAACTTTCATCAGCTTGTACACTCTCTATAAATGTTAAATATTTACATGCTGCTGCACTTGCGGAACTTCTCATTAAGTACAGTGGCTTCACAATGTTTTCAGTCTTCTTTTCATTTTTAGCAGTTTTTACGTGTCAGATTCTGGACTGGTTTAAACTYTGCAGATCTTGCAGGCAGTTCCTTTGACCCCACAGCTTGTTTTTTTGTGTTGTCTATGATGCTTTTTAAAAAGAAGTGTTTGCCTTTCCTGATCTTGTCCAGTCAATTTAACTAGCACATGTAGACAAACCAAGGTGCAGAAATATGATAATTGAAAAGCGACTGAGCAAAATTTCAAGTGTTGTTGCAAAAGGAAATTAAAGAAATAAAAGGTGTATTTAAAAAATTGTAGCACATTTTTGKTGTCTGAATACTTTCTGAAGCCATTTAATTTAAGAGGGTTCACACAAACTGTAAAAATCCTGAAGACTTGCGAGTGTTTTTTTAACTAGACATGACATTCAATCCGTTTTAACGAGGTTGTCACAGTGATGTATAACATCACCGTAGCCGGCGTATAAAAAAAACGGCTAACACATTGGTGTTACACTTAGGTGTAAGTTTTGAATAAGTTATCAGCACGCTGATATACAATGGTTTTAAGTTGTCATTGATGCTWGCCCACAATTTTGCACAGGAAGTTTCAGCTTGCACCAACGTGATGCTGATAAGTTAGGAGTAAGTTGTGCACAAGTTCAAACACATTACATGTAACTTACTCATAAGTTGTCATATGTCAGAAACAAGCTTGTGTAGTATGCTTCTTACATATCTAAATTAYATTAGACATTTCCACAATGTACACTGCCTGGCCAAAAAAACTGTTGCCACCAAAAATAAAGGTCACACACTAATATTTTCTTTAACCGCCTTTAGCTTTGTTTACGGGCAGCTGTGACAGAGTGGTTAGGGGAGTCGTCCTGGAACCGGAAGGTTACTGGTTTGATCCCCTGTTCCAGCTGACTCACTTGAGTCCTTGGGCTAGACTCTTCACCCCTAATGCCTCTGCTGTGTGTCCCATCAGTGTATGAATGTGATTGGCACTGATTAGTCTCCATAGATGATTGTACGTGTTAGCTTTGTAGGAGATCTGATACAGTGTTGTGTATATGGGTAAATGAGGACACAGATTGTAGTGCAAAGTACTTTGAGTGTCCTGGTTGGTAGAAAGGTGCTATACAAGTACAGTCCATTTACCATTTACGGCCCACATTCACTGTGGCATTGTTTGAATAAGTTCTGCAATGTCTCAAGATTTATTTCCATACAGTGTTACATTCATTTTTCACCAAGATCTACCACTGATGATGGTTCATCCCAAAGATTCTCAATGGACTCTGTGGAGCCAATCTATGTGTGAAAATGATGTCTCATGCTCCCTGAACCACTCTTTCACAATAAGAGCCTGATGAATCCTGGCATTGTTATCTTGGAATATGTCCGTGTCATCAGGAAAGAAACAATCCACTGATGGAATAACCTGGTCATTCAGTATATTCAGGTCAGCTGACCTCATTCTTTGAGCACAAACTGTTGCTGAACCTAGACCTGACCAACCGCCTCAGCCCCACATCATCATAGACTTTAGTTAAATCCAGGTGGACACTTTGGCCAGGCAGTGTATAATGGCATACAGAATGCATGGCTGAGGACCCTAGAACTTACTGAACGTGATTATAACCCACAGCTTGTGTGTATTTGCCAGCATTCAGCTGTATAGGATACAAATGATGAGCAACTCTTCACTCCCACTGGATCCATGAAGAGCAGAGATCCACAACTATCACCACAAAGAGGGAGGATTTGATTCGATTAATTTCATTTCAGTTCAATTAGATTCAATTCARTTCAWTTCAATTCAAAAATACWTWATTGATCCCAGAGGGAGATTAGATAAGATCCTACATCTTATTTTAGACAGGATCCTGAGAAACAAAAGGACTAATAAATAGCCCTAAGTTCAACATAAAAATGAGCGGACTGACGTACCTGTTCTGAGCCAATAGGATCAGGAGGTGCAGAGGTCACTGCAGGAGGAGAAACACTCYGAGCTGATATAATATTATGATCTCATATTTATCCAGCTTAGTATGGACATCATCCTAAAGACTCAATGCACTTAGGCTGCTTTGATTTAGTTTTTTTCTCATTTAATTAAACCTTTTACCTTGATATATGCTGGTTTCAGTCTGTATTTGAAGTTAAAAATGTTAGTGGCTGTTAGTATCTTTTAACTGAGTGCACTTAAATGACAYGTGATGCAACTCTCAAACCTCAACTTATTGGACCCCATGTCACTCACAGCTGTGACCTTCACCGAGGAAGAGAAAGAGCAGCTGAGAAAATTCACAAACCACTCCTACCTGTTGGACAAGAAGTCTCGGTACCAAGCGTGGCTCAGCCTTGTGGACATCCTGMTGGCTTACTCCTATGAAGTGCGCTCCACAGAGGGGGAGCACAATGTGAGTGTGTGGATTTAYATGTGAAAAGACAATTCCTCCTGAGCAGTACTTAGCCTTGGATGACAAACCCAGGCTTCACATCATAAAATAAAACCCACCTCCTTCCATTTTGGTCAAAGCCCTAAAGATTATCAGGAGATTCCAGAGCTCAAGACATCTTTGTGTTAGACTGCTGTGATAGTGTTAAGTGTGAAAGGTAAGTTTATTGTTAAAGTCACTTCATAGCTTTTGTAAGGTTTTGGATTCAACAGGAGGAGGAATAAAAAAATCTACTTTAAAATAAAGATTTTTTTAATAGATGAACTTTATGATCTGTTTGGAACATTTTAACATGGAGAGTCCAAAAGTTCCCTAATGTCTCATATTTACCGTGTTGTGTTGTGTCTGTATACTCTTATAAAACATTGTTTCCATATCGTGCAGGTGGAGTCACCGTGGACTATCAGGAAACTCAGTGGGACTCTGTGCTGGCTGSAGGTGGGTCTCCTATTACACATCTGATCAAAAAGCAAAAAGMAATGCAGTACTTGCATTTTGATTTACTTGGACTGTTTTACAAGAGATGACGTTTGCCTCTCATCCGATCAGCCCTGGCTGTGATGACTAGAAGAGTATGCCTCAGCTGGGCAGCGTAGGGTTTCGTTCCCTCACAGTCTGTTGTGAACTGTGGCAGTCTCTTCCTGACAGGTTTAGAAAGTAGTGTTTCTGTCAGTTAACAACAGAAATCCCAGATCTTTCTCCTCCAGCTSCTCGATTGTTAACTGAAAATAAACATCCTCTCAGCCAGCAGTGTTGTCTCTGTTGATTCTGATTGCACRTGTTGAGTGCTGGACTGGGAGAACTTATCATGATTTATCCCCTAAAGGTTTTCTTTTAAGTATGAATAGTCTGTGAGGAAAAAAAAAACATCTCAAATTACGACAGTAAGWTCCACTGTCTCACATCTTTTTAGAGTGTAGTGGACCCTTAAAGGAATCCATGATTAGTTGTAACATTAGACTTTATTTAATAAACATATATTTTAACTGTAAAATGAAGACTGTAAAAATACTGTAGGATGTTCAGTTTTTATCATTTTTAAACTTAAAGTTTAAAAATATATTACACGGACGGGGCCATTTTATTTACACGCAAAGCATTCTGGGTAAATGATGACRTGGTTAGGTCCTCGGTGCAAGACTGCTAGCGAGCTATATCCACMCTGAAGGTTAATCTTGGACAATATCTGATGATCGACTCTTTTAAATGAAACCAGAGAGCGTTGACAGAGAGGAGAAGGTAGAAATGACTMAGCCTGBAACTGAAAATATRGATGGAGGACAACAGAGCTGCTTCATGGAAGAAGAACCTCAGCTTAGCCTGTTAGCTTTAGCGTTAGCCCCAATGCTATCACCATTTATATGCATTAGCTCAGCACTACACATTCTCCTTTCGTCACTGAGGTCCTCCATCCACATGACAGAAGGGAATGCAAAAATGACTCAGCCTGAAACTGAAAATATGGATGGAGGACCTCAGTTTAGCTTGTTTGTCGCGCTAGCGCCGAGCTAATACATATAAGGCAATATAGTGTCAGCCCTGTGATGGACTTGCAACCTATCCAGGGTGTACCCCGCCCCTCGTGCTGTGACTGCTGGATATGGGCACCAGTGACCCACACAGCCTTGAAAGGAAGAAGCGTGTACAGAAAGTGGATGGATGTAGAGGAGAGTGACTAAAGACAGCAGCAGAGTGAAAAAAAAGTTGCAAACTGATGCTTATAGTCTGAAAATGCCAACAGAATCACATCATTCTCAAAAAAGAGAGTCAAGACTCCCAGGTTCCCAAACCAGACATCCTCCTCTCCACGACTGCACCTTGAGATCATATCCATAAACTCAACAACCAGGACTGAAGACAAATAGAATCCCTGGCAGAGTCAAACCTGCACCTTATAAGCAACTCCAGAACCCCAAACTTTTGCAACATGCAAAACACAGTCATAAGCCTTCACYAGATCAACAAAACGTGGACTGGACAGTCAGACCCACATGACCCTCTTAGCAACAGCACAAAGGTAAAGATCTGGTCCACTGTTCTCCAACTAGGGCRAAAACTACTCTGCYCCTCCTGAATCTGAGGTTTGATTAGTCAGAGCCTCACTTCCTTCCAACATCCTGAAGTAAACTTCCCAAAAGGTTGAGAAGTGTCTATTGATGGTTGAAACACACTTTCCAGTACCTCTTTTTTTAATAAATGGAAACCACCACCCTCGTCTGCCACTCCACAGGTGTTGTCCTGGTTCTCCAACATGAGAGCCCCACAGTGTCCACAGTCTTCAGCATCTCAGAGCAAATCATTTGTGTAACTTTATCTCTGCAGCTCAGGTTTACAGACTAAAGTTCTCTTTTCAAAAAATGCACATCTGCTGCAGTTTTTATTTTTATTTTTTATTTTTTTGGAGACACTTTTAAATAAATCAAGCCTAAAATCCCAACTGGCACACACACAATAGGAGGTTAATGAAGTTTGCACCACTTCTGTTTATGCAGACACGCACCGCTACTCAGTATGGAAATGCAGAGCATCATTTCTGTAACTGGTGTTGCTCTTGGGATCTATTGATGCCACTCAGTTACATGCATGTTCCTAAAACTATTGAGACGCATCAGTCAACAGTACACTTTGCCTGTGGTATATGAGTCCCCGAGGACATTAGAATATGAGTGTGTTCACACAGTCATCACGTTTGATCAGTTAAGTGAGGGTTCCTGGAGGAGCTGGTGTGCCTGAACCTCCAGCACAGATTGAGTGTTCCCAGTTTTCCCGCTCTGGTGACAGCAAAGGAAAGAATAGTCTTCACCTGCCTGCCAGCCYCCTTAATGCTCGTCAGGCAGTCAGCAGAGCTGTCAGCTCCCCTCAGCGTATCACCCCACTCCATCTCCCCCCACTCCCACAGCTTTACTTCCTCCCTCCATAATCTCCACAATAGATTCCTCTGCCTTTGACTGGCAGCCTGTCTGCRTGTCACAGCACCGCTTTCTCACACCATCCTCTCCTTGGCTATCACTTTATGGTCTCACTGGCTGCCTCACACATGCTCAACATTCCCATGTCTTAACATGACAGCCCCCCCACCACACACACACACACACACACACACACACATTTCGCCACTGTTCCACATACACCTCATGTTTACGTGTCCTCAGTTGACTGGGCTGGTGTTGCTGCGAGTTCTCCCACTGTGCAACAGCAGACCTTATTTACACTTCTGCTTAACAAGCCCGAGGGAGAGTGTGATCCCGATGACACATAATTGTGAGCTTGTGGCACATCCTTAACAAGAGGAAGAGGGGAAAGAAACCCGGGAGAAATGTGTCCTTTTCTTTCTTTTGGCTGCGTGTCCATTAAAATTTGAGAACATCTGAGAGCGATGGCAGTGATTAAAGGGAGGCAGCAATTAACAGGCCAGAGMTGCGAAGGTGTTTAAGAGCTGCGAGCCCCCCTTTTTTTTCTGCACCTCTATAAATAACAATTTGTTAAGAGTAATTAGAGCATCGCATTATCCTGCACAGCATTAAGTAATTTTATCAAAGGCAAAAATGGAACATAAAAATCTTTCTAAGTGAAAAATATTTGATGAAAACAAGCATTTTATGTGAGTTGTMTATGGCTGTTCAGGATTTTTCAGAGTTAAAAAAATAAAAAATAACAGTATTAAGATCCTGTTTTGTGTTCTGCAGACATATAACTCCCTGCAAGAGGTCCTGGTGTCTTTTGGAAGGAGGGTTATGTGCTACCCACTCTACAGACACTTTGCTTTGGTCACCTCAGTTATTCGTGACACAACTGATATTTTGCAGTCAGGTGAGTCACTTGAAAGCATCACACCACCATGACACCATGCAGCAAAGCAGGAAAACATACCCATTTGAAAGACATTTTGCAGTTGAGTAAATTAATTTTAGATACAGCCTTATATCTTATGCTTTGTGATTGGTTGCAGTCCTTTATTTTAAACAGTGATAGAATCAGCATGTCTCTACTTACAATGTGTGTCCCGTCTAGGCCTGAAACGATTCCTCCAATAATTCGAGTAATTCGATTACAAAAAGTCCTCGAGGCAAATTTATCTGCTTCGTAAAAATTACATACTGTTATAATCAGCGCACTTTCGTCCGCCCGGAATGTTATTTGTGTTACACACAACGCTATGAAGTTAGCGCTTTCGCTAACGGTTACACTGTCGACGCCTCACGTGTGTATGCTTGCTGAGCGCAAAATTTAGCTTTAGAAGAAGACGAAGAGTGCCGAAACAAAGCGCTCAAAAAACGACCAATTATTAAAAGCATGGGAACTTTTAAAACTAAACAGAAAAGACGACAACATGCAATGCACTGCACATCCTCGATGTTTCTGTACGGAACAAAAACAGCTGCTGCATGAACCGAACATGTCCGAATTAACTACAGGTATTTGTTTACATTCACTTTACAAAATATGGTTACCTAAATCTGTGATAATCTGTCATGTTACAGATGTACGATGAGGAGGTATATTTTGGCTAACGTTATTTGTGCTGACTAATCATGGTGACCTGGCAGGATTTTATTAAACAGTGTGTAAGTTGTGTGATTAAAAACAAGACTTACTGTAAGTTTGTCAGATAAAAATAAAAACACAGCAACAGATTGACAGCTTGAACTGAAACACATTTATTTGTTGATATGCTCTTATCTTAGTTTAAATGATACTTGGAGTGAATTTTTCAAGTTAACAGTATTTATACTTGGATAGTTGGATTTTTTTTATTATTTGCTGCTGCTTTTTATGATTTTAGCCATCATTATACTGTCATATTTGTTTATAGCTAAACAGGCAAGACTAAATCTTTTATTCCCTAAATGTGATCCCTGCACCTAATAACAGTCTTAAAACTATATTAACTTTTTGTTACAATTAACCAGTGAACTCAGCAAAACTCAATTTCAACACCCAAATGTTTATATTACCCATTTAACTTGTTAAATTTCTTACAAAAAAAAACACAGTTTTCCAATCCACAACAATAAATTTACAGCATTTAGTTTTTTCTGTGATGGTAAAAAATGATTCAGTGACAGAGTGCTTTTGATGAATGCCTCCTCAAACCTCACATACATAAATACAAGTAACTGGAGCTTAAAATGCTTGAATTAAATACAACTGGTATTGTAATTTTACTTTGATTGTAGCAGGAACATGAGAATTTTTTTTATATACGATTACTCGATTAATCGTCAGAATAATGGATAGATTAATCGATTACTAAAATAATCATTAGCTGCAGCCCTAGTCCTGTCAGCAGCGTAAGAATAATGTTCAGATTTCTGGTATTTCAGTGCTGATGTAAGAGGTACCGCCCCTARGGGTGTGACCCAGGTGTTCTATAAATGTTTTGGTTTGCTGAGGTCACATGGGCTTAGAACAGCAGCAGCAGGAGTTCGAAGCCATTTTGTTTTGATCAGTCACGGCACCACAGACACAGGCTCTGAGGATGAAATGGACTTTTTAGATCTGAGAATAAACATTTAAAGAGTAACTTACCCCAAAATTAACTTTTTTTAGCTGATAAACTGTCTAGAATGTGTCTAAAATGTTATATAGTACTGTTTCTGTGCTAATTTTGATGTTTTTGTGTGTATTTGTTCAAATCTGTAATATTTGGTCTAAAAACGTCTTTTTGCTGCTCATATGGGTAGAGCAGTGGTACTGCAGGCTAATTTGCATTTTGGTTAACGGCTCTCCACGGTGACGTGTCTTCTCCACAGTTTCGTCACAGCGGCTGTGTTCTGGTATAAAAGCCTCTCTCTAAGACACGCCCCTGCAGCAGTCAGAAGGTGGAACAGTTAGCAAGCTTAGCATGATCGTCTGTTGACCTTCAGCCTCGGGTGGGGAGAGCTGACTGCTGCRCYKCTCTCTCTCTGTYTCTGTCTCTCCACACACACACACACACACACACACACACACACACACACACASAGAGASAGAGAGAGAGACCAGAGAGAGTCCTGCACAGCGGGAGGGGAGGAGGGGAAAGAAAGGCAGCGGGCAGCAACTTGTACAGATTATCTGTAAATTATAAAGATTTGACATCATTTTGCAGGTATACGGACGTATAGAGCAATCTCACAGATTTTTTCAAGTCTTACGGATATTTTAAAAACCTCATTTTCAAATTTATCTAACATGTCAGAGCCTATAGGATGCTTTAAAAAACAATAAATAACATCAAACAGCCATCTTCCAACCTGTTCTGCCGCTAGAAATAAGTTACTTTTTTCCTCTCTCCTTTCCTTCAGCAGGCGCTTTCATTTCCGCAGCTGACCCCCCCCCCACCCCCCACCCCCCGGGTGCGGTGCAAGTTGTAAGGATTTTTTGCAAAATTTATGGATTTTAGGGCTCTTTATACAGGTAAACTACTTTTATTCCTGATTTAAACTACCGATCATTTGAGCAGCTGTATGCTTTTATTTTTTTCAGTCAGGCTGTCGTAGCGCTCCTCCTCCTCTGTCCGAGGCTGGTGTGGGGTGAAAATCCTCCACCTCAGACGTTCAGAGATGTAACTATCTGCGATACTGTGGTCACTCTCCATGTAGCATCAATTATGCTAATGCTAGCTCCCTGTCACGTTCTCTCGTCCTGGCCACACCTCCGCTCTCTAACCCACCTTCCCCACCCACACCCCCTCCCCTACCCACTTTGATGCATTTTTCAAATTTCGCCTTGGGGCGGAGTTATCTTTTCACAGGGGGGTAAGATACACTTTAACTGGGAAATGGATCGGGTATTCTGCACATTATTCAGGCCTCCAGTTTGAACATTTTCTGACACGATTAGATTCATGTTCAACTTTTGCAAATTTAATTGCAAAACTAAAACAACATTAACCTTTATGTTTCTCAACTGTGAACATGTGATCTTTTTCTAATTAGTGTTCATTGTTTCTGTCCACCCCGTGGTTTCCTTTAATCAGTGTTTTCTCATGTAAATGGGTTTAAGCGTGTGCAGACAGACAGAATCTGCCGCGTGCCTGGAAACAGTGGGATGCGGCTCGATTGCGAGTGGATGCTGCTGAAAAGGCAGCCTGACAACCAGCACGCTGTCTTTGTGTTTTCTAGCTAAAACAGCTTGACGGCTGGACACAGAGCTCAGAGAAAGTGCTTTGTGGGCACACTGCAGTGAGCGTTTTTGAAGGTAAGCAAGAGAGTGTCCGTGCATTCACGCCTCAGGGAATGAAACGTGGATTAGTGGAGAACGGGGTGTTGACTTTGATATCCTGAAGTCTAGCATAATCTTTAAATCAAAAGCTCCCGCAGACAGCTGAGAGTCAGCAGTGTAAACATACTCAGGATGTCTGAGGGCTGAGATAATCCATTTTCTGATGATTTTACCACTGGTAAATGGCCACAAATGACAAGCCTTTTAAGGCTTAGATTAGTATTTATTCGCCTCATTAAGTAGGAAGATTAGTTGCTGAAGAAAGTAACGGAAAGAACAGTTCTCCTTCCCTCTCACCTTTTTTTCCTCTTATTTTGGAACAAGATTTTTTATGTTCGGTCMAAATTTCCAAAAACTGCCAAGTGATGCTTAAAAAAGCATCGACATGGATACCAAAGCTTGTTTTATTACAGTTAATATTCTTCGTAGGATTTTAAGTGTTATGCAAGAATGAGTAGTATGTTTTTTTGCTTTGATGAAGTGCAACACTTCAGTAATTTGGCTTGGTATGTGTTGAAGGGTGTTTTTCCCTGCAACATTACTTTATACACTAATTAATTTGTCATAATAGAGAAAATGGTGCTTGCAGTCACTTTACTGAAGTAGCTGTAAAAACAAACTTTCACAGGTATTAGCAAAACAAACCCATTAGTGGCAGTACACAGGTTAAGGCCACGGAGGAAATGTTATCCGACAGTAAATATTTAAACAGCCCTCTGGCAGTGTGGCAAATTTTCCCGAGGAGCTCCACCACTTGAATTCGAAGTGGCTTGTAACCGAAGAGTCACCAGGCATACAGAGGAGAGCAAAGAGCCTGAGGGGGACTGGAGTTAGGAAGTGTGAGGACAACTTTGGGGTCGTACGGCTGTCATCATATTTCTAGCTTGGCATGGCGAGAAAAGTCCCATGTGGCAAGATCCAGCTAGCACATTTCTCTGCTGTTTATTCATCAGACATTTCTCGTAGAATACTGAGGAGGCTTGGACAGCTGGCAGTTCTCATTGCAAAAGTCAAATCGTCACTTTGTCCTAGTTAAAGAAAACTATTAGACGTCAAAAAATGTATAATCCCAGCATGTGTAGGTTTATAGCGTAGTACTGTCATGGCATGTAATAATGAAACTTCTGTACCTACGTACAGTATGTTCCCTGTTCACTGAAGCTGGAGTAGATGCCATGTTTGGTACAGCATCTTCCACCCCAAACCCACCTCTGACCTGCATGTTTTAGAAGTTTCCCTGCTTCAACGCACCTGATTCAGGTGATTACAGTTCAACAAAAGCCTGTTAATCAGTTGTCAATTGAAATCAGCTGTGTTGAAGCAGGGAAACGTCTAAAACATGAAGGGCAGTGTGCCTTGAGGACAAGGGTTGAAAAACACTGCTCTAAAGGCTTTAGTTACGAGATTTTTGGCCATTTTTGTGTAGTTTGCATCTGTTTTGTTCCACCGACGGATTATGATTTTTATATACTTGGTGTTACTGTTCAATGTCGCAAAAACATTTCCCTATTTCCCCAATTTCCCTGTCAATAGTTTGGCAGAGCTACTTTTACTTTTATTGGATTTATTTTTGACCTGTAAAATTAGTACTTTGATTCAAGTAAAGA